TATATGTAGGTTTGGAAAAAAGAGAGAGAGAGAGAGAAAATTATAAGGAAGGCAGAAGTATGCATGCAATGCTACTTAATGTTCCTTTAACGCTCATGACCTCAGTTGAATGAAATTAACAAACTAGACTAGATGACCCACAAAATCCCCTCTCTCTGGCTAGAGTACTTGGTGCTTTAGCATTCATGATATCTTATCAAGCTATTAAACTTCAGTGGGCTACAGTTCCCTTCTCTGTAAAATTCCCTGACCACCTTCCAGGTGGGACCTCAGAGATGTGAAAATTCATAAACTGTAGAGGACTACAGGAATATAGGTGGGTCCAATCTGGATCCATTGGCAACCCTCATCCTCACTCTCCTTTCTTCTCCTCACCAGCTTTCCTCACCTTATACTTTGGATGCAAGATTATGCCCATCCAAGTTCCCACAACCTTCTTTATGGTTTGTTGGAAAAGTCATGACCTATTTTTCCATGTTTTTCTAGGCGAAATTGCATCATGACTTTTCTGATGACCCAATACATGGTCAATTTGCTTTGCAAAGTTTCCACTTCTCCTCTTTTTTTTTTTTTTAACTATTTTCAGAAAATGAAACAAAGAGAAAAGTTGTCTTCCCTGTAACCTTTCCTTGCTTACTCATGATGTCTTGCCTTGTGGCCCCATTTCCATCAAATATTCCCTTCAGTATTTCATCAGCTCCATTCTCTTGGCTACTTGTATATACCCATCATAGAGGCACCCTCCGAAGCCTTGGTAATACCTCATATTCCTTCTTTCTTTCCTTCCTTCCTGTAACCAACTTTATTGAAATAAATTTTTAAAAATTTAGAAAAGCTCAAAGCTCAGTTCTCTCACTTACTTTGCGTCCACTCACTCTTTGTAAGCTGAATTATGTTCTCACCACTTTATTTAAACTGCCTTTTTCCCAGGTTACTTCATTTACGGCCTTTTCTTTATCTATATGCCTCTGAGCATCTTGGTTGCATTTGTGTTTCTGATGATCTCTTTTCTTTTGAAACATTCTCTTGGTTTCTGAGGGTTCCTACACTGTTCTGACTGCTAGCATTTCAATTATTTTTCCACTGGTTTTTCTTCTCCTGCTTGACTTTTCAGTGAAAAAATGTCCCCAAATTCTAACCTTGGTCCTTTTATCTTCTCTAGTCTCTAGAATCACGTGATTCCACTCTGTCTCATGGATTCGGCTGTTGACTCTAGCTGTGTAGGCAAGGCAGTTTTCAAGTTAATTGTAAGTTCATTCTAAGAACTGTCTTAGACTTTTTACATCCTATGGAGCTCCTGTTCTCAAGTGTCAAATTCTGTATGCCAGTTCATTATATTCTCACTGGAATGTCATTCAGCCTCCCATTCTGATGCTTTTACTTTCCTTCTACCTCCTCTCTATCCCAACTGCATTTCAAATTTATCTCTTGTTCTTTACATTCAGTCAGATTCTTTCTATAAATGGTCTCGTAATCACCAACTGGATGTAGACTCCTAACTAGATATTCTGTCTAGATATTCTGTCTTTGCCTTGACCCTTTAATTCATTTTACACAACATTCTCAGGTTAGTCTACCATGTATGCTGTTAGAGTGACACCACCTCACTGCTTGAAATTGCCAGAGCTGCCTGGATCCCGGTATTCAGTGTTCTCGTTGAACCAGCCCGACATGCTTACATTTTTGTTCTAACCCCTAACCCCACTACCTTTCTACTCACTCCAGCCTAGTGAAAAGGCTCATAGCTTCCTTATGAGAAGGACTTAGGCTATTCCATTTTAGATGGTCTTTTCTGTACTTTCACATCCACCTAATTATACTCGTTCTTCCATGAAGATTTCCCTGATTCTCCTAAGTAGTCATTCATTTTTCTGGATTTCCTTGAAAGTGTATTGTGGACTCTTCATATGTCTGACTTTTATCTTTGTGTATGCTAAATCTCCACTGGACGCAAATCCCCCAAACCAGCACAGGTGCTACTCCTCTGTCCCCACACGATGCCGTGTACTCGTAGAGCCTCAGTAAACTGTGAGTTGAATAAAAGGATGAATGGAGCATTGCTGTTCCTGGGAACCAGATAAATAATACCTATTTCTGAGGTATTTGTGGATCTGAGCCTGATGACCCAATACATGGTCAATTTGCTTTGCAAAGTTTCCCCTTTCCCCTTTTTTTTTTTTTTTAACTATTTTCAGAAAATGAAACAAAGAGAAAAGTTGTCTTCCCTGTAACCTTTCCTTGCTTACTCATGATGTCTTGCCTTGTGGCCCCATTTCCATCAAATATTCCCTTCAGTATTTCATCAGCTCCATTCTCTTGGCTACTTGTATATACCCATCATAGAGGCACCCTCCGAAGCCTTGGTAATACCTCATATTCCTTCTTTCTTTCCTTCCTTCCTGTAACCAACTTTATTGAAATAAATTTTTAAAAATTTAGAAAAGCTCAAAGCTCAGTTCTCTCACTTACTTTGCGTCCACTCACTCTTTGTAAGCTGAATTATGTTCTCACCACTTTATTTAAACTGCCTTTTTCCCAGGTTACTTCATTTACGGCCTTTTCTTTATCTATATGCCTCTGAGCATCTTGGTTGCATTTGTGTTTCTGATGATCTCTTTTCTTTTGAAACATTCTCTTGGTTTCTGAGGGTTCCTACACTGTTCTGACTGCTAGCATTTCAATTATTTTTCCACTGGTTTTTCTTCTCCTGCTTGACTTTTCAGTGAAAAAATGTCCCCAAATTCTAACCTTGGTCCTTTTATCTTCTCTAGTCTCTAGAATCACGTGATTCCACTCTGTCTCATGGATTCGGCTGTTGACTCTAGCTGTGTAGGCAAGGCAGTTTTCAAGTTAATTGTAAGTTCATTCTAAGAACTGTCTTAGACTTTTTACATCCTATGGAGCTCCTGTTCTCAAGTGTCAAATTCTGTATGCCAGTTCATTATATTCTCACTGGAATGTCATTCAGCCTCCCATTCTGATGCTTTTACTTTCCTTCTACCTCCTCTCTATCCCAACTGCATTTCAAATTTATCTCTTGTTCTTTACATTCAGTCAGATTCTTTCTATAAATGGTCTCGTAATCACCAACTGGATGTAGACTCCTAACTAGATATTCTGTCTAGATATTCTGTCTTTGCCTTGACCCTTTAATTCATTTTACACAACATTCTCAGGTTAGTCTACCATGTATGCTGTTAGAGTGACACCACCTCACTGCTTGAAATTGCCAGAGCTGCCTGGATCCCGGTATTCAGTGTTCTCGTTGAACCAGCCCGACATGCTTACATTTTTGTTCTAACCCCTAACCCCACTACCTTTCTACTCACTCCAGCCTAGTGAAAAGGCTCATAGCTTCCTTATGAGAAGGACTTAGGCTATTCCATTTTAGATGGTCTTTTCTGTACTTTCACATCCACCTAATTATACTCGTTCTTCCATGAAGATTTCCCTGATTCTCCTAAGTAGTCATTCATTTTTCTGGATTTCCTTGAAAGTGTATTGTGGACTCTTCATATGTCTGACTTTTATCTTTGTGTATGCTAAATCTCCACTGGACGCAAATCCCCCAAACCAGCACAGGTGCTACTCCTCTGTCCCCACACGATGCCGTGTACTCGTAGAGCCTCAGTAAACTGTGAGTTGAATAAAAGGATGAATGGAGCATTGCTGTTCCTGGGAACCAGATAAATAATACCTATTTCTGAGGTATTTGTGGATCTGAGCATATCATTCTGCATCTGGGCCACTGTTCTAATTCTAGTGATCTGGCACAGAAAGGCCTCTGAATGCGAGATTTGTGAATCATGTAGGATTTCTCTATACCCAAAGGTCCCTGAGCTCAGCGTTCAATGCCCTTATTCCAGGCTAAGTCTACCTGGCTTCTCAGATTTTTTTCCACACTGACATTTGTTGCCTATTCTAACTACGATATCTTCACTGAAATGAAGTTATCAGTGCCTGACCCCTTCTCCCTGGGTCAGGCACTCAGCTTTTCTGAAACTTACCCACACACACTGCAATGAGAAAGTTTAGTTGATTGCTTTTGGATAGTACATATGCATGTTAGCATTCTCTTGGATAGTCAATAATTTGATAGTTGTAGTTTAACCTATAAAGCAATCAGATAATGAGGCTAGCAAGCTAGAACAGAGAGAAAGAATAGGGATAGGTATCTTTGAACAAACCTTAATGGTCCTAAAACTCTTCCTATCTATAGAACTGATGCTTTCTCAAAGAGTGCCTTCCCTGGGACCAGCAGTTAGCATAATGACTATGTCGCTGGACTCCCACGTAGTCAACCGAGGTTCGCATCCTGGACCCGGTGGCTTAAAACTCACACTGGGCGCGCATGCGTGTGAGCCCAAGATCCCGAGAGGAGAATGGAGGAGAAGGGATTGCGGCGTGGCCATCCCCCCTGGGGGGTGATTTCTTGCTTTCTGTCTCTCTGTCTCTCTCTGTCTGTCTGGCGAGTGCACGTGCCCTATAGCAAAAACCTCTCCAAAAAAAAAAAAAAGAGTGCCTTCCTTAACTGCTGTTAGGAGCGTGGGATGGAGGAAGAGTGGAGATAACTGAAATGTGCTCATGGGACAGCCCATTTCTTAGCAACAACCATAATAATCATTCTAAAAATGTATAAACATAGCTAGCCCTAGTGGAGGGACTCCTGAGAAGAGAACACCTGGACAAATGCTTCGCTCACCCATTAATCCTCAATGATCTCTATGATACTGGATTATCCCCAGGTTGAAAATGAGCTAACTTGGCCTGAGCTGAAGCTCCAAGTGGTTAAGTACCTTGTGGAAGAGCACACAGCCAAAATGGCAGAGCCAGTCACCCCCAAGGATAACAGAGACTGAGAATCAAATCTAGAACTCATCTTAAAATAAAATGGTATAAAACAAAGTATTAATAGCTCCTTCAAATGATATCTAATACCAAGAACTAATGCATGTTGCTGATATGAGCATGCGATATTCATAATAAAACCATGTACTTACTCTCTGTCAATCACGAGGCAAGTTACAGCTTCTGCAGCAATTACGTTTGCTGTTCTCACATCCTCCCTATATAAAAAAATAGAGACATTGAAGTCAACAAACATTTGCTGTCAAAGGAAAATATTCTTTGTGATTAATTCAGAAAATATATTAAATTATGTAAACTCTTCTGGCTGTACTTTCAGGTTTAAGCTGCTTTTGTGTTTCAAAATTCCATGGCTTGAAGAACCACCTTGCTTTAGTCCTAAATCAAATAGATCATACAGATGTAATCCAATAGTTAAAATTCTCAAATTATATATCTATGTGGAATTAAATTTTATATCACCATTCCTTTGCTCTTTGGAGAATTGCTGAATTAATTGGATAATGATAAAGATAATAATGAAATGAGTAAATGGAAGTTTTTAAAGGATTTGAAGGTATACTTCTGGAAATTGAAGTATATCTTTCATTTATGTATAAATATATTTTTATATACTGAAGAACAATGGATCTATTCTACTGTTTCCTTATTTTAAAGACTTTGCTTTTATGAGGCTAACCTCTTAGCAACATAATATTGTTGTTTAAGAGTATTGACAAGTCTTAGTCACACTAACTGAAATACGGAAATACTATCTCTTTAGAAGCATTTAATTTGTCATTGTAGTAATACCTATCAAACTGTTAAACTTTAAAAATCTTACCTGGTATCCCTTATTTTATCTAGTAGTCAAAGGTGGATTTGGTAACATTAATAATTAATTTGGTAATGTTCATAATTAATTTTCAGCTACTATATATTAAATAGTACCATCATCATAGTAACATTATTTTTGAAACTGTACTTTTTCTATAATAAAGTTTCTAAGTTATTATAATTAATGAGAAATATAAGTTTGAAATACATTATAGAGAAAAATATATAGGAAACAATATGGTGTTAAAAAATTCTAAAAATAATGAAACATTACATGTCTCTCATAATAGGCCTTTCAAGTCTTGAAAATAAAAATATTCTTGGTAGAAAGTTTTCTATTTGTTTTTTGGTGTTTGTTATAGGACACATGTGCTCACCAGAGAGAGAGAGACAGAGAAATAGAGAGGAAATGTAAGAAATCATCCCCTGGGGAGATGGCCACATCACAATTCCTTCTTTTCCATTCTCCTCTTAGGATTTTAGGCATGCATTCACGAGTACCCAGTATGAGTTTCAAGCCGCAGGGTTCAGGACTTGGATAGCAGTTGACCACGCGGGAGTCCAGCATCTTAACCATTGTGCCACCTGCTGGCCCCTAAATTTTCCACTTTCAAAGCACATTGATTCTGACATGCACCTTTGATTTCTGTATTTTTATAAATGATCTTTTTTATCTTCCACTATTGCTATACCATGCTGATAAGATTACAGTTCTTTTTAGTAATTATTAGCATGTGGTAAAACAAACTCCCCTTACCAAAATTCCTTTCCAGAAATATCTTCATGATATTCTTAAGTATGCATTATTTCATATCATTTTATAATCATTTTTTTTCCACTTCTGAAGAAACCACATGGGATTCTGGCAGAGTTACATTTATATATTGATTTCAAAAGGACCTTCTGATATTATTTTTTCCTTATGAGAACGTAGCACAACTTTCCGCTTGTTCAGATCTAGTCTTATACCTTTAAACAAGATTTCATAAATATTTTACTTGAGTTCTGACATTATAAATAAAAGTATTCTTAGGTGTTTCATATCATGTTTTTCTTATGAGCAGCATTTCCTTTCCATTTCTGTTTCTCACTGGCTGCACTATTAAAGAAAAAGAGTTAAAAATAGGGTGTATTTTTAAAAATCTATCTACATTCTACATTCTCCTCTGAAACTAAAATTTTTATTGAAGTCTAATCAACTCCCATATGATCTCTGGTGCCTCCCTCACATTCTCTGCCTCCCAGCCAAACTGGCCTCCTTTCAGTGACACACACATTTCCTGCCATGGGTTCTTACCATGCTTTCCTTAAGAAGCTCCTCACGCATAATTCTTGCCTGCTTATCCTCCAGCTCTCCATCTACATGCTCTTTCCTTGGGAATACCATTCTGAATTAGCTAGGTTAGGTGTCCTATTCATTGATATTTAGGTTCTCAAAGCCCTACATAGCTCTCCATCAAACTACCTGTCATCCTTCATAACATACATTCACTTGTGTGGTCATTGGTTGATGGTTCTATTTCCCTTTCATTAAACCATATGAGAGTGGAGACCATGACTAGTTTTATTTTTTAATTATTATTATCGTAATCTTGTTTATATTACATTGAGTCACATATATTTCTACAGTGTACTACATTTCTTTTTCCAGGAGGAATACCATGCATATCAGTCAAGACAAAGACATTACTATCCACGTCCTCATCATCAAATAGCTTTTCATCACTTTTTTCCAAATTATTATTATAATTATCATTTTTTTCAAACATTCAATCACTATATATCATTTTGCTTGTACCATGACTAGTTTATTGCAAATGCCTGACACATAGGAGGGACTTAGTAAGTGCTGCAGGTGAGGAACAGGCTTCCGATCCTGAATCCTGGGCAGCTCAGCAGGGATCAGCTTTGGAGTTCTGCTATACTGGTGTTACATCCCAGCTCCGCCACTCACAAACTGTGTGAAACCCTCGGTTTCTCACCTACCAATGGGAATGAGTGTGTACTTACGTTGTTATATTAAATGAGATAATAAAAGATAAGTTTATCATAGTGGCTGGCACACAGAAGGGAGCACATTTTGCTGGTTACTACTGCTAATGCTTCTCATCTCCAATGCCATCGTGTCTGTCCTTGTCGAGTCTCTGTATTTTATAAAACACTGCTACCTAGAAACATAGCAAGAATGTTCTCTCGGCTCCGTACAAGTAAACGCTGTATTTTCCACTTCATTATCCATTTCTGAGGGGGAATTTTTGGTGATAGAACATAACAGACAGAAAACATCAATCTGCCCATGGGTGACCTTCAGAAATTTTATGAATAGCTTATTTCTTAAAATGATGCTTATGGCAATGTAAGTTATTACAAATTGCTAGTAGCCTAAACATAAAACAAACACCATCATAGATTTACAGAAAATATTACATTTAATACAGCTTTCCCTAAAATATATTTCCATCTTGACTATTTAGAAATCTCCCCAAGAGTCTTTAAAATCTAATATACTCAATATAATCCTTCATTGAATATATTTTCTGTGCATATAAATTTTTAATGTAGTCATCATGGGCTGGCCCTATAGCTCAGCAGTTGGGATCCAGATCCCACATGGCCGACAGCCTCAGCACTGGCAGCTCAAGGAATACACCAGGCACATGTGCATGTGTGCCCAGGATCCTGACAGGGTGGAGAAATGGGCTGAAAGGGATTTCAGGTGGCCATGCCCTATTTGGGGGTTCTCTTTCTCTCTCTCTGTCTCTCACTGGCAAATGTAAGCAACTTCTAGCAAAACAAAAATTAAATTAAATACAATGTTAAAAATTACAATTTTCTATTATTCTAAAATGGTATTTATTATCTGGCCCATTTTGGATTTTTAAATCATGACAAAATACTTTAAAAATTGAATGCTATTTTCTTTTTTTTGTTTGTTTGTCTTAAGGTTTTTGCCATAGGGTGTATATGATCACCACAGAGAGACAGAGACAGTGCGAGGCAGAGCAAGAAATAGCCCCTCAGGTGGCATGATCACACTGCAATCTTTCCCCTCCACTCTCCTCTTGGAATTGTGGGCATACACACATACACACCCAGCATGATTTTTAAGCCACCTGTTCCAGGACTCCAACTGCTGTGGGTCATGTGGGAGTCCAACACCTTAACCACTACTCCATCTGCTGAACTCTGTAATTTCTTTCAACCAAAAACAAAACATATATTAAAATGCAGATGAACAGAAAAACCAAAGAGCAGAAGAGTGACATAGTTAATTGAAATAGGAAATATTTTCTTTTAAAAAGGAAAATTTACATAAGTATAAGCTAGAATCCAACTTAGTAGCTAGTAAACTGACATATATTAAAATTGAAAAGAAGTGTAACATTGGAGGAAAGCAACATGTTAAACAATAAATTAAATGTACCATCCACCAAGCATCTACTACAAAGGGCTCTTCAGAGACTTCACAGAAAATGCATATTGCAGAAAAGCTATGCATGGATTTCCAAAACATTTTTGCATGAAAATAAACTTGTACTTTCATTCTGTTTTTCCATAAACGTTTTTTTTTTTTCTTTTTTTTGGAGAGGTTTCCGCTATAGGGCGCGTGTACTCACCAGACAGATTGAGAGACAGAAAGTGAGAAATCACCCCCAGGGGGGATGGCCAAACTGCAATCCCTTCTCCTCCATTCTCCTCTTGGGATCTTGGGCATGCACGCACATGCGCCCGGCGTGAGTTTAAGCCACTGGGTCCGGGACACAAACCACAGTCGACTACGCGGGAGTCCAGCGACATAGCCATTACGCTAACTGCTGGTCCCTCCACAAACTTTTTGAGGTTCCCTTGTATATGGCAGGGATAATCAATATACTAAACAATTTATACCAGTCTCATTTATTGCATATTACACACAGTAGCTATTTTATCCCAAATCTACACGTGAGGATAGAGGCTAGATAAAGCCAATTCAGACACAGCAAGTTGCAGCTCTACAATCTGAACACAGATCTGGCTCTCCCCAATCATCTTCTTCCCACCACAGTGTATTGCTTCTCTACTCTGCTGTCAAATCTTAATTTGGCATTTCTAAATTCATTAAAATGCAGAATAGCTTTTGAGCCATAAGTAGTCATAATATCTGTCATTAAGAAAATTATATTTAATTGCTAATAATAACGGAATTCATATATTTAGGGGTGCCCACTTGCAAAACTAATTCGATGAGCCATTTTGATCCTCAGATTATTAGAATGCCCAATCATGGCTATGTTCTAGCCTTTTCTGCTGCTTAATAAGAATGTTATACAACAATAGAAAATTATTCAGTGCAAAGTTCATTCACTGTCAAACTCCTGTCGCCAGTACAGTGTCGTCATGTTTA